TGTACGGCTCTATACTGAAGATGCTGCCATCACTCCGTGCATGTGGTCGTCGTGCACTTTTCCAACACAACGACGATGACCCAGAACACACATCCAAAGCTACTGTTGCATTTGTGAAGAGGAACAGGGTGAAGGTGATTGAATGACCAAGTATGTCTCGATCTGAACACAATAGAACATTTGTGAGGATTGTGAAACAGCAAGTTGAGCATCACTCTCCATCCAGCGTCCAGGATCTAAAAGAGGTTCTTCTTGAAGAATAGAAAAAGATAGATGTTGTAACATGTTGCCAACTTGTTCATTCCATGCCTAGAAGACTTGGTGCTGTCCTTGAAAATCACGGTGGTCACACAACATACTACATGTAGTAGTTTTTGTTGTGGAGTGTTTTCATTTTTGCTTCAACCAATTTTAGTTAAAACTGTAGATTTTGTGATCTAAGTCAGTGGTTCCTAACCTGGGTGTCCCGACCCCCACAAGGGAGCGCCATAGCCTCTCAGTGGGTCGCCAGGACCTCTCCACTTTCAGGGGTTAAAACTTCATTTATTACTTGTTTATAGCCTACATTTTGCTCACATTTTTTTCATGAGTGAAAAGTTTACTGATATTAAGACAGGAAATAATTAGTACAGAAAAAGTAACACACTTTTAAGAACATTTTGCTCAGCTCACTGTTTTATTTTCAAGTGTCAAAAGTTCATTAAAGAAAGGACTTGTTGATTAATCACAGCCTTTACAGTAAATAATCTAGTATAAACAGTAATATACACATTTAAGTACATTTCGCTCAGTGTATTTTTTATGTGTCAAACATTTATTGAAAGGAATGATTGATTTATCAGTGTTTACAAGACACAATGTGTTCAGAAAAGTAATACAAACTGTCAAGCACATTATGCTCTGTTTGGTTTTGTTAATGACTTTGTTCTGTACTGGAGCCTACTATTACTGTTATCTATTGAATCAAAGCATATTAAAATGTGCTTGAACAATTTTATCATTTCTTAATAATGTTTGTACTGGAAGAGAGAATGGGAGGGGGTCGTCAAAAATTTTACTGGTAAAAAACGGGGTCCCTTGGGAAAAAGGTTGGGAACCACTGATCTAAGTTATATTATTAGCCTTAATTTCATGTTTTTTATTTTAACAAGAGTTCAATAAAACCCAGCCTGGTGAACGTTCTGGAAATAGTTCTTTTCTTCATTGAGCTGCTGATTAAATTTGTATTTTGAGGTGTCCTCATTTATGCTGAACACTGTAAATAATGTTTCAGTAAGGGAAACTGTTTGTTGTTCTATTGCTCTATTTACTGTAATAATGAGTCTTTAGGATACCATCTACAAAAAAATAAACATAATTTGTATTTTGAGGTGTCCTCATTTATGCTGAACACTGTAAATAATGTTTCAGTAAGGGAAACTGTTTGTTGTTCTATTGCTCTATTTACTGTAATAATGAGTCTTTAGGATACCATCTACAAAAAAATAAACATAATTTGTATGTACTTGATGTTTTCTCCAAGTGCTTTTCTCCCCAGAAGAAGCTACACTGATGTTCTGCTGAGCTGTGGTACCATCCTGGAGAGGCCATCGGCTGGTACACTGCTGCCATCCACAAGGCATAAGTGTGTGTGTGTGTGTGTGTGTGTGTGTGTGTGTGTGTGTGTGTGTGTGTGTGTGTGTGTGTGTGTGTGTGTGTGTGTGTGTGTGTGTGTGTGTGTGTGTGTGTCTAATCTGTCTTCTCAAACCCACAGTGAGTTGCGGTCCATTGCTGCTCATACTGAGCCAGGTTCTGGTGGAGGTTTTTTCCTGTTAAAGGAGTTTTTCCTTTTCACTGTCACTACATTCTTGCTTAGTATGGGGACTGCTGTCGAGTCTCTGACACAAGTCAGTGACTCGATGTGATCTGCTGGGTTTTCTAACATAGGAATCTTAATTTAGATAATGACTTGAACTCACTACACTGCTATGTAGGTTCAGTTGGATTGTTTAGAGTGCCTTGAGACGTCTCGTGTTATGCTTTGGTGCTATATAAATAAACTGAATTGTATAAGTTGTCCTGTGTTAGTGGCTCTTTTCCAGTTTAACTTGAGTCCAGCCAAAGCAAATGCATCATTTATGACTGAATGAGTTAAAATGCAACCATCAGACTAAGGTTAGTGTGTCAAAGTGCCTAAAAGAAAAGCAGTTTGTAATATTCAAATTAAACAGCTTTGAAAGCTTTTGGATCTCATGGCTGCTTTAGGGGCAGTGATCTTCTTAAACAATACATCAACAATCAGTTTTTGTATTTTTTAGTCATTAGAGCAAGTCCCCACCAAATCAACTTTTTTTTTTTTGCTGATGAACTATAAAAATGAGTATCTAATCGTGTTGTAAACATGTAGTCAACAATTTGGCACTTTAGTGCATCTTAGTTAAAAATGAGATATTCTGCCTAAAACTGTCAGTGGTGCCCCATCTTCAGGTAAAAACTCTGCATTGCGTTTGAATTTAAATCTGTCATCACTAGTGGCTAAGAGGTACACTATGATGTTAGCTGGTACATTGTGATGTCACAATGCCATTGTCAGCCTGTGTGTGTTTATTTGTTAGTGGCTTCGCCCTTTCAGTCTGCCAGGCAACAGCATTTGGTGCATTTTTCAAACAGGAATAGGGAGTGAAGATTCTGTTACTTGCTCTTTAAATTTCTTTCTTTTTTGTTCTTGTCAAGCGCCTCATTATTTTTACCTTGAGAGATACTATTTGAAAGATTGTTTCTTCTTCTAGTCAGTTTACATTAAAACTTGAATAGGTGGATTGATTATAGAACAATAAAACAGCAATGCAGCCAAAAGCAGTTCTAACCTAACAAACATACGTGTTGCCTGAAACAAATGACCCATGATGTGGAGCTTTCTTCTCTGAAGTTTGAACTACATCGGGGGTCGGCAACCCGCAGCTCTGGAGCCGCATGCGGCTCTTCCATCCATCTGATGCGGCTCTCTGTGCTTGTAAAATAATGAATGGGTATTTAAATAAAATGCTTTATATTTTACTGCATAAATTTTACATCTGTATGCCAATTCTAAATGTAAAGGTTGTCTGCGTAAACCTGAACAGGTCCAACCCGGTCTTACTGTGAGACCGGGTTGACGCGTCACGCTTGTGCGTAATCATATAGGCACTTTCTGAGCTGACGAGGATGAGAGATTCTGGGATTCTCCTCAGACAGGCTCCTGGATGTGTCGCCTCATTGGAGACAGGAACAAGCTCTATTCAGCCAAAGTTTCATAATCAAGGAACATTTTCTAAGTGACAAGTCTCGCTTCAGTCGGAGGAATCTTCCCGCATGCGCTCTGGTTCTGCAAGCACTAAAAGCCCCTCTCCACATCTTCAGCTTGCTGTGCACCTTATGTAGTACACGCTGACAGTGAGCTGCGCTGAGCAGTGTCCAGCTCAGATGTTCAGATAGGAATCATTTCTTGAGTGATTTAGCTACATCTGCGATGTGCGAAACGAATAAAGTGTCAGTTCGTCTGCATGCGTCGGGGTAATTCTTTCTCCGTCAAAATAAACGGTCAAATACGGGAACTATCCGGTCAACACAACACAAGCCCTGCTTTTGACTGTTTTGTTTTCATGTGAAAATTGTTGCAAAGAGATATAATTTAACTTGATTAACACCAGAGCCAGGCGCACTGCGCCGTTATCTCCGTCACTGTAAATGAGGGAAAAACAAAATGATCGAATCCTTTTCTGACCTTCCCCACCTACAAAGTTTAATTACAACAATCAAACGTGACAGAGCCTGGATTTGTATTCTGAACAGTCTAAACATGTTTTAAAAAGAAACGTATGACAAAAGGGGCACCTACTCAGTAAAAACACCAACAGGGTGAAAAATATCAAAATATTGTAGCAGAGACGGGCTACAACTTCTGGATCCATTTCATATAAATCGTTTTATTGATTATCGTCTTATGAAAGATACCGTTGACGTACACAAGCGACCGGTACCGGCTGCTGTCACCTGTTGTGATTGGTTAAAGCAGCTCTCTGCTGTCTGAGGTTAGGCCCCGCCCACAACGCCGCAGCTACTGCGGCTCCCAGTGTTTTCTTTATTGTGGGAAACGGGTAATAATGGCTCTTTGTTGGGAACAGGTTGCCGACCCTTGTCCTACACAACTCAGATCTTCGTTGGTGCCACATGAAATAGTCTAAAGTAGCAAACATGTTTATGGTTTAAAGCTAAAAAGTCAAAATCTGACATCTCAAATATCAAGTTCTCATCAAATATGCATTAAAAGTTTCTCAGAATCATTTTCTGCTTCATTTGACTGTATTTTTATATAGTAAACTTGTCCTGTTATTCTTCACGTCTGCTGTTAAACACGTCAGCGTGAACGGAGTTCCCATTCATGGTTTTGATTACTGCATTTTTTTTATTTTTGTTTTTACATAAATTTTATTGTAGGTCATCTGTACATGTTAACACATGTCATATGAAACCTTAAAAAGAAAAGGGCACAACTTGAAGATTCAAATATTCATAAAAATCTAACTCCACAGCTTATAAATCAAAGCTGCAGGCAAATGAAATAAATAAAAAATAATTCAGAGCAGAAAAACAGTCTAAGAAAAGTTACAGGTCTTTTTAAACACACACACACATGCGCACGTGCGGTGTGTTCAGTTTGAGATGACATTAAAAACCAAATATGAGCATTCCATATAAAAACAAATCTATTAAGATTTTTTTTTAGAAAAAAATGGGATTTAAACAGATGTTTTTCTGTATTCATGAAATCTAAGCATATATTTACAATGAGGAGTATTTCATTTGTGAACCTGAGAAAAAAAAATCCAAAACTAAGATAAGATCGTGACAAAAAAGTTGAAGAAAAAATAAAAATAAACTTATCAAATAAGTGCTTTTAGATTAAATCAACCCTCACTTCTTTTTTCAAGGTTTAGTGCTGTACATGTAACCAATCATGACAAGTCGAAACCAGCTTGTCTGGGTTTTACTGCAGCATTTTTATTTAGTTTGCTCCTTTCAGAAGACCAGTCTGCTGATAGTGTTGAACCCGCCTCCCCCTCCTCCCCCACCAGAGGGGCCACAGCTTCCGGGTGGGTTGTTGTCATCAGAACCGTTGGGTCTGAACGAGCACGAAGACGAAGAGGCCTGGAGGGCTTGGGTGCGAGCGTTAAGTTCCTGCTCCTGTTGATGAAAAGGAAGAAAGGTAACGTTCGGGTCAGAACAAAGAAAACATCACTTCATGTTCCTGCAGCACCCCCTACAGGACAGTTATTGTAGTTACTTGTGAGTGTCAGCTTTGCACCGCTCAGCTCAGTGACTTGAGAAATTACATCTCACATATTCCAACAGAACAGTTCACTTCTGCAGCTCTTAGCTGTCAGCGACGGTACGGACCACCAACCCGCCTGTGACTGCGTGCTGAAAGTGAAAAGTGAGCATTTTCCACCTCCACAGAGCAAAATCACCTGTTATTAAAACAACTTAGAAGCACATGTTGTTTAGTGCAGATAGTTTTTTGTATTACCTGTAAATACAGCTTGTTGTCTTTTATTATTGCGTCCAGTAGCTCTTTTTGAAGGGGTGGCTCTACACTCAGACTCATCCCGCTCGCCTTTACTCCTCCATTCGAGTGCTCCCCTGGCACCTCCTGTTTCCTGTACATTAACACGTATGCCGTGTCCTTCGGGAAGCGCTTGGTGATGTTTTGCGCTGACTGTAAAGACGTGAACGTCACCCTGCTGTCGTTGAACAGCAGCCACTCATTCTCCTCCTGTCTGCCGTCACTCAGCTCAGGTGTGCAGAGGCTACGAGCGGCCGCGCCTTTCTCCACATCCTCTCCGTCAGGTGAGGGATTGGCTGGGTCTGCGCCGCTGATGTTCCGACCGTACGAGTAGTAGTGGCCGCTCTCTGATGACACACCAGAATGCACCACCACTGAGCTGAGCATGTAGGGTACTGAATGAACAGGAGTGTCTCCCACTCTATTTACCTCCTGTACTTCATCTATCCTCTGCGTCCCGTCTTCCTTCTCGTCTCCTTGTGAGGGTTTGAGTTTCTTGGCCAGGTTCTCGCTGCTTTCAGGAGAATCGACTTGCACGGGAGAGGAGGAAGCGGAGGACCACTGAGCAGGTGGTGTAGGGACGTGAACAGGAAGTCTCAAAGCAGGTGGGATGGTGACGTTGTCTAGGATCTTCCTACGTGTATGGCATTTGGCATCGTAAGAGAATCGTAAAAGTGTGAGGATTAGGTACTCAGGTGCGGAAACCAGTTTGAGAGTTCTCTCTGCCCTTTGGAGGGAGGCACACTTCTCACAGAAGTAAGCGTTGTCTTCATCGAGGATCTCAGGAGCCAGAAAATAATTCACCAAGTCAGGCACAGACAGGGGAGGCTCATTTGTATCTGGCTCATAATGAAAATTACTGGCTAGGCTGCTAGCTGAGCCCGGCTCTGGAGCTTCACTGCCCCCGTTCACGGCTCCCTGACAGAGAAGCTTGGGCTCCTCCGACGGGCCCTGGAATTTAGGGCTCTTCTGAGAGGAGGCAGCAGGACAAAAAGCCAAAGAAAGGTCAGTGAAAGGCTCTTCTTTCTCAGAGATGCAGTTGCACTGCATGCAGCGAATGCCTGTGATCAATTTCCCCCCAAACATCTTTTCAATTAAAGTCCTTTGATCATCGGCAGGTTTGGTTTCTGTTTCAATCAAACGTGACTCCTGCCGTTCCTCAGAGGAGGTTTCTTTGCTGCTGCAGCCAACCAGCGAGGGAACCTTTGGCTTGGATGATTCCAGAACCTGGAGCGTTTTCTCCTCTTCATGTAACCTTAAAAACAAAGAGAGCCTGATGGGTGCAATGTTCCTGAAGTCTTTATTACATTATTCTAGCAAATGTCTGGTTTAATCACGTTTTCAAATAAGCAGATGCTGACAGATGTGCCCAGCACTTTTATCGAGTTACAAAGTTTCAATGAAGTTGAATTTGACAGATGTGGCGATTTTTTATTGGTGATGTTTAGAGGAGATGGTTGATTTTCATGGCCGATATCGAGACGTTTTCCGCTTGATCTTCATGCTAAAATGTCACTAATAACAACGCATAAACAGCTTTTCTGAACACAACATAACGTGTGCATAATAATTGTAAACAAATGTGTTTCAACTCTGTTTGTTGGCTAGAGGAGCGCGTTCATGAACGAGAGGCGCTGCTTTCGGACATAAATATGGAAAGGAAAACAACGTCTTAGTGTGATACATTTGTCAGTCACTAAATGATGCCATCAGATAAAAGAAATAATCCGGATAGCTCCTTTAAATAGATTTTGATTAAGTAACGTAAATATATATATTTTCATAAAATTCTTAAAGCCGCCCAAAGACGACAAGTAAGAGTTTTTAAGACTTTAGACCACGTGTGTCAGACACAAGGCCCGCGGGCCAGATGCGGCCCGTGGAGCATTTTTATGTAGCCCGCAAGATAAATATCAAAAAATATATTAAAACTGACCCGCTGACAGATTTTACCGCAAAGACTACGACTCCCATGATGCTTTGCGGCGTTAGTGTGGAGTTGACACCCCCCCCCCCCCCCCGTGTTTTTTCCAGCGCCTTCTGCCGGTGTCTGCAGCTCGCCGTCTCGGACAAACTACACTACTCTCACTCAGCGCCGAGTTTACTCAGCTATTTTCTGACGTTGGAAGTCCAGAAACGGAGATTTTAACCGTTCAGTAATGTGTTCACGACTGAAAGAGAAAGTTTTCCAACTAACTTCCAGACAGAGCTGATGTAACTCCAGCGAGCAGCAACACGCTCAAACCAGCATGACTCTGTGGCTGCTGTAGTTTTTATTTTTCCTCCCCGACACACAACAACGTGGTCAAGCTGCTCAGACATGTTCATCAGCACAAACCTAAGTGAGCAGCTGTTGACATCTAATGTTGTCATTATTATGATGAAGATGAACAAAACAACAGGAGTCTCCTCCTCAGCTCAGATCAACCCCATGATGCAGGTATCTGGCTGGAACAGGTGAGCATCACAGTAAACCAGAGGAGCAAACTGAGCTTTAAATATGTTGGTTTTATGCTCTTTTTCTGCTCCAAAACATGAAAGTTAACAGGTGAGATGTTGCATTTTCATTTAAGATAAAATGATATTTTTATTTTGTTGTTGGCCCGTGAGAAAAGATTTAACCTACAGTAAACAGGAAGTGGAAAGGCTGCAGATAGATGAGTAGAATAGAAAATCCCTTTATTGTTCCTCAGTGGGGAAAGCTAGACGTCACAGTAGTGATGACACGTATTACAGGAGAAAAAAGGAGAATAAAAAATAAGAAAATGAATAAACAACAGGAAAACATAAATCCTGAATAGATTTGAAAATGCTGATTATACCACAAGTAATGAATTCCACTGATGCCTTTTATTTAAAACTGACTTGCTCGTGTGTAATTTGGTTATTCCACATTCAGTGTTAATGCAGAAATAAGTTTGTTTCCAAATTTAAAGGTTCAAAATTGCATACATTTTGATAGAGAAAATGTGCAAATTTGCCGTCACTTTTTCAAAAAATATTAAGTTTGGCCCTCGACTCCGTCCCAGATTTTCATTTCGGCCCTGTGTGAGTTTGAGTTTGACACCCCTTCTTCAAACTATGACTTTCAAACTGGTTTCAGTTATTCTTGAGCCATAAAGTAGAGCAACTTCAAGTTGGTCAGTGCTCTGTAGCCCCTGTTCACCAGAAAATATACTTAACAGTTTAGTGGTTCAGGTAGGTAGACTAGTAGGAGGTCCATCTGCTTTGCGGCTGTTAGCTGTTTAATGTGCCGGTAGGTCATATAAAAGCTATCAATAAAAGCACAAGTAGAACAAAAATAACAATAAGAAGAATTATGTATTTTTTGTTACCATCATGGCTGAGCGGAGCCTGGAAGTAAAAGTAAGAGAGTTAACATCGGCACAGCCTGTACTCTTTTGAGGAAGCTGAGGGAGGTTATGAAATCACGGATTGATGATGACCTGTCTTTATTGTAACTGAACTTTTAAGTAATAATATTTTTTTGTCCAAGAGTGTTTTTTTTTACTCTGTGGCTTATTTAGTATCAGTTGGCTCGTGTTAGCATTAGTTTGCTGCTAGCACTAGCTATAGGAGGATTGTTTACCATAGCTGTAATTTCACTTTCAACCAGGAGGAGGAAGAACAGGAAAATTATTAGTTATTACTTTAAACATTTATAATTTCTCCCTTCCTAGTTTAGTCTGCTGCAGAATAATTGTACCTGTCCAAAAGAAATCTGAGATACTCAGAACAATCCTGCTGCGAGCTCACGTTGAACCAGGGAGGCCGAGATGCTTCCAAGAAGTTTCTGGGAGCATATGCTACCCTCTGCAGGACAAAAAAACACACCATCATCCACTGTGGCCATTCAGGATTCTGTCATCCTTTACAGGACTGACCTGTGTGTGTGCTAGGAAAGCAAAGAGGAGCTGAATCTTTTTCATTAGGGTGTTGGAGCTGTTGAGGTGCAACGATAAAACGTGCCTCCTAAAACTGAAACAACAATCAGGTGTTGAGCTTTTACAGCAGGAACACGAGGTCAGACGTTGATTTGACTGGTGAAAACATCAGAGTGACTCACTCTGTGGCCATGAAGAGAGTCTGGATGATGCTGTTCATGTAGCACGTGTTGCCCAGGTTGATCAGGCCCGTTTTGCCCGTCTCAGACTTCCCAGCTTGCTTTGACAGACTGGAAGCAAAGGAGTTGGACTGAGATGTCCAGGCACTTTGATTTAAGACCAACTTGATTTTCTCTTCTGAAGGTTTTGGGAGATCCTGAGAAGAGAAGAGGAGAGGAGATTTAAAAAAAAAAGTGCTGAAATCCTCCAAATAGTGGTAAAGGCTGGGGTCTGCATGATGTAAATAAACTAAAAGGAGGTAAAATATCCACACAAACATCGATCTCACCTTGATGGCCTCTAATATGTGGTCATAGAGGTCAGGGAAGCCAGAGTACTGATACATCATGCAGTGCATGAGCTCAGTAAACTGCAGCAGAAAAGCTTTACTGGTGGGGAGACCATCAGTCCTGAGAGACTCGACCAGATTTACTACACGTGGGACAACCTGGCAGAGATCAAAATGAAGACAAGAAATAACAGGAAATGCAGCAAACTTAACAATGCAGCTAATATGATTCATTCAAATGTGCAGCGTGGCCAGGAAGGAGGCAGTGCATCTCATCTGCAGAGTATTTTCATGTTTTTTTATCGTTAATGAAATTTGACAACTCAAAGGGGCGCTGTTTGGCATTTAGGTGTTTTACACATCATTAGTGAGCATGCTGCCTAAGCCTGGGAAGGAAAACCGTCTGTCAAGCTTTAAGTAATTCATGCTAAAAGAGATGAAAATGAGAAAATTAATCAGTCAGACATAAGAAGGGCAAACGAGCCGTGAGCAGGAGGGATCACTTACCAAATGGAAGGCCTCGGGAGAGTGCTGGAAACTCAGCAGCATGTGGGAAAGTACAGCTAGCGCCCCCTGCCGCACGATAGGGTACCACAGGCGATTGAAAACCTAAAAATAGCAGGAACAAAAGAAGAAGTGGAACACCTTTCAGTTATAGAAAATGCTATTAGTTTTTCTACAACCCCAGGGAAAAGTTAAAGCTTGATTATTACAATAATTTAAACACATCTGCAGCTTTTCTGACCCCTTTAGGCAGAGGTAGGGAATCCTGGTCCCTCAGGGGCTGCTTTCCTGCATGTGTTGGTTGTTTCCCTGCTTCAACTCACCTGATTTTAATCAGCAGGTGATTTAACAGGTGTCTGCCGGTGTTCAGCCACTGAACTAGGAGTTTTGGGGCAGGGAAACAACTAAAACATGATGGATAGTGGCCCTCAGGGACCAGGATTCCCCAGCCCTGTTTTAACGGCACACTTGGCAGTTTTGCTTGCTATTAGCACCGTTTAGTGTCCATTATTAATTTTCTGTGGTCAGACCTAAAGCAAAATCAATCTCCTTGCTGTGCATTTGTCTATTTAACACCTTAATCTAACAGCTGAAATTTCTCCCCAGCCTTCATTGGTTTCTCCATGAGTGAGTCATCACTAAATGAGACAAATCAGCTATGTTCATGATCTAAAACATGCAGGAAGTGTGCTGGAAGCAGACTGCAGCTCCCAACAGAGCAGCCTGCCACTCTGAAGTTGCAAATCCGGTAATCTGGCAACAGTGGTGGTCTCAATGACATTTCATTAACCTTGTAAAGGGTCATTTTAGCACATACTGGCACAAGAAAATGACTAAACAATATGAAAAAGTTGCAAAGTATGGCTTTAACCTGAATCAGGAATGTGTTACTAACCAGTTCAATCTTAAGCAGAGTGACATCTATAAGGATAGTGAACTTCTGAACAGCAGCCAGTCCTTTCAGCAGAGCAACGACCCAGGTGTCGACGTGTTGGGCCAAAGGCCAAGAAAGCCAGTCAATCATCCTGAATGAACAGAACAATCCTACGTTAGGATCGACGGGCTACGGGAGAGAAATACTCAAGTAGGTAAAGGATGATTTCAGGCATTACTTAAGAGTGGAAGGTTACCTGCAGAGTGCTTTAGTCATGCTTGCATCTCTGACGTTCTGGTCTGTGGTGAGACTCTTGATGAGGACTGTGATCATCTGGATGGGGATGTGCTGGACCAGACTGGCTAGTGCGATGGACGGGTCAAAAGATGGGTCTGACAAAACAGCAAGAAAACCCAACAAATACTTCAAAATAGTGAAATATTTGCATCTTCTAACAAGACTTTAATGTGCAATTTAAGGTGACTTTAGGCTCTCGGTAAATGTTCCAGGCGGCCTAAGGTATTTTCTTGTTAAATGGAGCCTCACCTGTGGAGGAGATGATGGCGAAGACTTCCTGCAGCGACGGCAGCAGCGTGGCCGGTTCTGCCTTCCAGATGTTCTGCAGCAGAGTGCTAACCTTCATCACCTGCCCTACATACTCTCTCAGCTCTTGCTCCTGACTGGCAAAGCACTGGAAGCAACTGATGGTCCTTACCAGCTGCTGGCAAAACAAAACCCCTGACTTACCCCTGGGGGTGCACTGCATAAAGTCCAGCAGCAACGTGCTGAGGCGGGCACAGAGAGCAGGCTCGGGACGTTCACACACCATCCTCAGAAACTCCACCTGGATGACGCTGAAGGTCTCCAGTACAGAGGGGCAGCTGATGAGCAGCCGCAGGCAGCAGTGGATGTAGTCTATTATAAATGGGTCTCTGTGGTCCAGCTGCCCATAGCCTTGCTGGAGCAAACTGAGGACAAAGTCTTTATTGAAGAAAAGCTCAAACTCTGGCCGGTGGTAGCGTGCGTAAGCGTCCAGGACCTGGACGCCGATCTGCTTCTGGAAGGCATCTTCACCAAGCAAGATGAGACGAGTGGTGAGCGTGAACAGCGCTCGACACTGCTCCTCGGTCGCCTCGTTCTCTGCCGCCTCCACAACCTTCTTCACTATGGCCTTCTTGACTGGAACAGAGTGGTCAGAGCTGACGAGGCCCTCCAAAATCTTGTCCATGATGTCTATCTGTAGACGCCAGGGCAGGAAATAAGTTGTTAAAAGTTATATCAGTTCTGTTATGGTACTGTGACACAATGACATGCTTTAATTTTCATATTTCACAGGTTAATGTTTGCAGGACAAAACAAGTTGGTCTATTTTTCATCTTTGTTTTTCTTTTATAAAACATTTAGAACTTTTGCAAAAAAATTTGAATAAACAAAGAGAATAATTCATAATTCACATTCTTTCACAGGATCTTGATATTTTAGAAAATGGCTTTCTAGGACCTTGATGAGAACACCTGGACTCCCTCACAGCTCAATCTGAAAACCTAATTACTCCCAAAGTCCTTTCTAACCTCTTAGGTGTGTTCTTGCTGTGCGTTATTTCTGATTCCATGTTGTCGTTCTTTTTTAAAACACAGAAACGGTTTTGTTACAGGCTGGTTTTTCCTTTGGAGGGGTTAGTTGGAGAGAGCCTCACCTGCTGCCATCTGCTTCAACAGAGACTGGATTGCCCATCCCGGACCATTTTCTTTTCTTTTTTTATGGACATACTTGGTTGAGAGGGCGGTAGGGCTTGAGTGCACTCATGTTATTTTGAACTTTTGGACATTGGGGTTTATATTATTTCATTCCTGAGATCTCAGAGGAATTTTTGTTCTTATACTGTATAAAAGAAAAAACTGATGGACATTTAAGTTGTTTATGGGTGACTATCGTCAATACATTTTATATTATTGCCATTCCTTTCTAACCTCTTTGTAAGAATTTGCCTGTCCTCCTGCACAAAGGGTTAGTACAAAAAAGGAGATCATGAGTAAGGCATTTGTATGTATGCAAGTTGGTTTGTTTATATAGCACTTATCACAAAGAGGAAACAATATCACAAAGATCAATAAAACTAAAAGAGCATAAAGTCAAAACCAATAAAATGAAACATAAAAACAAATGAAAGATAATTAAATAACTGTTCGTTTTCCTCTGCTTTTCCGTGTCAGGGTCGCGGGAGAAGCATCTCGAGTAGAGCATCCCAGACAGCCCTCTTCCCAGCCACCTCCACCAGCTCCTCTGGCAGGACCCCAAGGCGTTCCCGGGCCAGAACTTTTCTGTTTTTAATTTCTGGGCCCAGGAATTAAAAACAGAAAAAGTCATAATACAGATGAAGAAAATGAAAAGATTGAGGTAAAAGGGTCTTCAGCTACTTTTTATGTGCTGCGCTGAGTTAAAGCGCTTATAGATTTGACTGTGATTGATGGTGAAAGTTATATCTTAGTATCTGTCTTGGATCTGATTTTATGACCCCCTGACATCAAATTTTATCTGTTTGAAACCAATTTAATTTCAATGTAAAGCAATGTGATATCCACTGTAATCAAATCTGCTGGATCTCCCACTGTGACCTATTTTCCACCTAAACATAAGTGTTTCTATCTTGGTTTGTTTTAAAAACTAAAACGTAAGAAGTAAACTATATTCTTAAATAAAAAAAATTAACCCAAATTTTGTGTATTAAAAGGATAGATCATTTGTTCACGACCAATAATATAAATAATTCACTTCAGATTAAATTAGGGCAATAAAAACATCAAAACTCTCTGACCACTGCACTTTTATTACCGACTGAATGCAATAACTCAGGTGATATGTTGTCAAACTGTTTTGACAATATGATTTTAAATTCTATATAAACTATTCTTTATATCATTTCCACTCGTCCCATCAGATGAGGAACAAAACAACCAACAGCTCTGTTAGAACCTGACAGCTAAATGCTAACGCTAGTTATGAGTTCTTCTACAATTTCAGTATCAAGGGCTTCGTTAAAGCTCGTAAAAAACAGAATATAATGTAAAGAAATGTTTACCAACTTCCCAACGTATTTACACTATGACCGGATAATATTATTACTAATATTTAAAACAACAACAAACAAACCAAACAGGCCCGTTTCTGCCGAGAAATGCACCACTGACTTAGCATAAATACAACTACCTATGAGCGCGATTCAGAGGCCTAAAAACTCGGACTTACCAGAATATAGAATGCCAAGAAAATCCAGTCAGAATATTATCAGCTGCCAGTTGAGTTCAAACGTCCTCTGATATATAAATTCGCATTATTTTGGTTCATTTGATCGCTCAGAATCAGCTGATTAACCTTCCTCAAAACGTCATACCGACGGCCGAATGCGTCGTTGGGACCCCCGAAGCCGCCTTGATGATGCCTGTTTAAAATATATGTCAACTGTGCCTCAACTCAAATACTGAACAAGAAAAAAAAAACAATATTGACGAAATGTATTTAAACGTAATCAGATTTATTTTCTGTTTGAATGACTATAAATATCGTTTTAACATTAAAAAGAATACATAGTAAAGCAAACGACTACTTGCTTGCTTTAAATAATCACGCCCAAACTTTAACTGACAAATCAAACAATGTTTTTAAATTTTTTTCCTTTAATTAATTGTATTTGAATTAATTTAGTCAACGAGACGCATCTACTAAAACTGTCTACTTAGTCAATAGGTAAATATAAGTCTAACCTGTTCATAATTGCAACATTTCCGACAGTCGCTGAAGGGCGCATCACCAATTCTCGCGATAGAGCGCACACATCTTGGCTTTGTGGCGCGGGTGCACGAGTAAAAAAAACTTGCTAGCGTGTCCAACCGGTGCGTCTTTCATTATCAACAACAGACTCGTTCCAGCGAAGTTCGAAAAATACTCAAGGACTCTTAAACGGGATCACTTAGGGCACATAAAAACGAACATTAACTCCAAATAGAAGAGGGAATTCGGCAAAAATGTCCGAAAGCGAAAACTGTGCAAAACAGCGGGAAGAGCCGACTGAACTTGAAGAAGCCGGGGTAGCGGAGGTAAGACGGCTTAAAAGGGGCATTGTTTGTTGTCAGGTCCAAGTACCTGTCTATTCAATATACCGCAAACTGTTACAGTTTTAACATGTATGTTCCTTATCTTTGTATTTCTTGATTTGGACTGTGAAACTTACTTTGTTGATGTAGATGGGCTAGATAGGCTAGCTAGCTAGCGGCGTTGTATCATTAGCTAACTCATAGCAGAGCTTGTGCAGTCAACCGCCGAAGCTAACGTTTGGATGGAGAAAGATCAGCGAGGCTAGCTCGGCTTCCAAGCGCCGTTAGATTCCCAGATCATAACACCTGGGATCTTTTTATTAACTCCTTTACGCAGATACCGTCATAAACGGCTTGTAACTGTGATTCGCTTTTGTGAACGCTTATGAATGAAGAGGAGCACCCCTCAGATGTCCCAACTACCTCTTTGTATTCAGAGAATCGAGGCAGCAATGGCTGTTGTGGCCGAGGGACGCAGCAGCGCAGCCCGTTTGAGTCTAGATTTCTGTTGAGTTTTAGTAAAATTGTGAATCGCATGAATTCGGCTAGTGTTTTATCCGATGTTTACCAAAATGGTTGCCCGCAGCATCTGAACGTAATCGTATTAAGATAAATTGAGCACCTATGACGTTTTGCTCAAATTTATGTAGTTTTGTCAAAACAACACTTAACGCACCATCCTTCTTCCAAATTGGTTTAATTAGAGTACTGTGCAAAAGTTTTAGTCCACCCCTTGTTCATTTAACCATTCTTTATGTACTCAACTATTATTCATAGACACCTTTTATAAGAGGTGCACAATGATTAATCTAGCACACTACATTTAGACCCTGTTAAACTCAGTGTGTGCGTGTGCGCCCATCCATCTTGATAGTTTTGTCATAGCTGCTGTTTCTTTTTCCTGCAATGTTCTGAGCTTTCCACATCTCTCTTGCTGTTTGTATCAGCTGTAAACATCAAAACATTCCCAATAAACATGGCTGTTCTTAATTCACTTTAATCTGATTCAGGAGAAATCTGACTCATCAGATGCTGGAAAAGAGTCCTCCTCAGATACTGGTGCAGATGGTCAAGATGCATCATCCTCTACCTCCTCACAGACTAAAGATTCAGCCCCTGGTTATGAGGAGAAAGTGGTATGTTGACTCGTCATTAGCTTACATGACACTATTACCCATTTTTATTTTAGTTTAATGAATACTAATCCTTTTTCTTATATTATAGCAAACAGATCGGACCAACAGATTTGAATATTTGTTGAAGCAGACAGAGTTATTCGCTCATTTCATCCAACCGGCTGCACAGAAGACCCCCACCTCCCCTCTGAAGATGAAACCAGGGCGTCCTCGGATCAAGAAAGATGAGAAGCAGAACTTGCTGTCTGCAGGAGAGTAAGTCTTTCTCTCCAAAGATGACAATTTTATAAATTCCAAGTTTACTGAGAAACTGTTTTGTGTGTTTTTATTTTTTTAATATATTCGTTCACTCTGAGTTTAACATTAAGGCTAAATGTGACAAAAGTCTCCTACCCCTATTTCCCGCATTAGCCGCCGTTGGAAAATGGACGGAGAAACGCTCTGATTAGATAAGTCAGTCAGATCTACGTCACGCTCTTGCACTCACCCATCTTGGTTTGCGATGGAGAAGGCTGTTGTTGATTTAGCATTCAGGAGAGATTAGAGCACTTCTCGGCTATTAGAAGCTAACAGTTAGCATTAGCAACTCCATCACACGGCAGAACTCCTTCAGCCTTGTGTTATTTATATCAACAAGTTGCAAAGCAGAGTCAGTGGTAGCGTCACTTTTCTATTGGCCGATCAGTGGAGTGCTGTCTGAATGTCAGAAGATAAGACTCCAAACCCTGCCTTCTTCTGCTCCCCTTGGCTCTGGCTCACCACTTCCTGGAACAGAAGTGCCAAAACTTTTTCCCCACAGAGATCGACTCACAAGGACCACAGCTAATGTGGTGGGCGAACTTGTTCTTTATTGTGTCGTTTATTCCCGTTGTCACCTTGTTGTGTTTGACAGCAACCGTCATCGTCGTACAGAGCAAGAGGAGGATGAAGAGCTTCTTAATGAGAGCACAAAGACCACCAACGTGTGCACTCGCTTTGACGAATCTCCTTCTTGTAAGTTTTTTTTGTGTGAAACGAACAAAAGTTTAAAGCATTAGTGTATAACAAATCTACACAACAAGCATCTTTGGAGCTTATGCCTTTCATTTTCCTCTTACAGATGTAAAAACTGGGAAAATGAGGGATTACCAAGTCCGTGGTCTGAACTGGCTCATTTCATTATATGAGAATGGAATCAACGGTATCCTCGCTGATGAGATGGTCTGTATTTTCTCACTCACATGTGTAAACATCTGTATTTGTGTACATTTGGGTGATTTCATCTCACTCTTGCTCTCAGGGACTGGGTAAGACCCTCCAGACCATTGCCTTGCTGGGTTACATGAAGCACTACAGAAATATCCCTGGTCCTCATATGGTTCTGGTCCCCAAATCCACCCTGTACAATTGGATGAACGAGTTTAAGCGATGGGTGCCTTCTCTTCGTGCCGTTTGTCTGATTGGAGACCGAAATCAGCGGGTAGGATGTGTCCAAGTTGAAATATTGTTTAGTTTATTTTAAATGAGATTTTATTCTGTTCTGTTAAGCTCAAATCCCAAAGTTACTGAGTTGGTTTGAGTTTGTGCAGAACTAAATTGGCCCACTGTATTAGTGATGTCTTTAAGAAGAAATGACTGACTGTTTATCTGTTGATCAGACTGCCCTGATCAGAGACGTGCTGCTGCCAGGAGAGTGGGATGTCTGCGTCACCTCCTACGAAATGCTCATCATTGAGAAAGCCGTGTTCAAGAAGTTCAACTGGAGATACCTGGTTATCGACGAAGCTCACAGAATCAAGAACGAGAAGTCAAAGGTCGGGAGGCTACTGATTTACCATATCCTATTATTTCCAGCTTTGCAGAATGACCCAATGGAGATATTTTTGTTTTTCTATAGCTATCAGAAATTGTTCGTGAGTTTAAAACCACCAATCGGCTGCTTTTGACTGGAACACCCCTTCAAAACAACCTCCATGAGCTCTGGGCTCTGCTCAACTTCCTGCTGCCCGATGTCTTCAACTCTTCGGAGGTGTTTACCTTCCTCCCTTATCATGTTTACCTTAACTTTGGACATGTTTGTGTTTCCAATTCTAATTTAATTTGCGCTTGTTCTTTAGGATTTTGATTCGTGGTTTGACACCAACAACTGCCTGGGTGATCAGAAGCTGGTGGAACGTCTTCACACTGTTCGTACTGAATGATGTTTAAATGAAAATAAAAACCAACATATTCAGCTTTTATAAAATGCCTTCTCGTCGTAAAGGTGCTGCGTCCTTTCCTGCTCCGACGTATCAAAGCAGATGTGGAGAAAACTCTGTTACCCAAAAAAGAAATGAAGATTTACGTGGGTCTGAGTAAGATGCAGCGAGAGTGGTGAGTTGAACCTTTTTCCATAAACACTCAGGTTTTAGACACGTTGTAAACTTGTTTGTAATCATTTCTGAAACAACTTATCTGTGTGCCAAAACTCGTCAGGTACACGAGGATTCTCATGAAGGACATCGACATCCTGAACTCGGCGGGTAAAATGGACAAGATGCGTCTGCTGAACATTCTGATGCAGCTGAGGAAGTGCTGCAACCATCCGTACCTGTTTGACGGGGCGGAACCCGGCCCGCCGTACACCACTGACCTCCACCTGGTCGTGAACGGTGGGAAAATGGTGGTTCTGGACAAGCTGCTGCCTAAGATTAAGGAACAGGGTGCGGAGGTTATCGCCAATTACATCACCAGTGACGAGGCTTTCTGCTATTGATTGTTTTTGTACTTGGTTTTTAGGCTCCCGTGTGCTCATCTTCAGTCAGATGACCAGGGTGCTGGACATCCTGGAGGACTACTGCATGTGGAAGAACTACGAGTATTGTCGCCTGGATGGTCAGACGCCACACGAAGAAAGACAGGTGAGATACGACTGTTCTGTAGTTGAATTGTTTGTGATTTCTGTAGAAAACAACACTCTGAACCTCTCCTTTCTACAACCAGATCTCCATCAATGCATACAACGAGCCCAACAGCACCAAGTTCATCTTCATGTTGAGCACCAGGGCTGGTGGACTGGGTATCAACCTCGCTACGGCTGATGTTGTTATTCTCTACGACTCCGACTGGAACCCTCAAGTCGACCTGCAGGCTATGGTCAGTGCTCGTGTTCAGGACACACAGAAATATTTCAGAGGCAGTAAATGTGAAAGATTTCTGATTGTGTGTGCCTTCCAGGACCGAGCGCACAGGATTGGTCAGCAGAAGCAGGTGCGTGTTTACCGTTTCATCACTGAGAACACAGTGGAGGAGAGGATCGTGGAGAGGGCCGAGATGAAGCTACGCCTGGACTCTATTGTTATCCAGCAAGGTCATTTTCCTCTGCTGTTAAAAACGTTTTACATCCCCTCATGTTCTGCTGTGAACAACCATGTAGGAGAATTTGTTGGTTGTTTCACGGTAAAAAAGCTAAATGGAAAAATTTGAGTCATATTTGTCCAACAGGAAGACTCGTGGATCCAAGTGCAAACAAGCTTGGCAAGGATGAGATGCTGTCCATCATCCGTCACGGCGCCACGCACGTTTTTGCTTCCAAAGAGAGCGAGATCACAGACGACGACATCGATGCAATCCTGGAGCGCGGCGAAAGGAAGGTGAGACAGAAAAGTGACGTTCATAATCAGCTGATTCTGCTGTGTTTTTATGTCACTCTCATCTTTGTAATTACGTTACGCTAGACCATGGAGATGAAGGAGAAGTTGTCATCTCTGGGTGAGAGCTCTCTCAGGAACTTCACCATGGACACAGAGAACACCAGTGTGTACACGTTTGAAGGAGAGGACTACAGAGAGAAGAAGAAGGTAAAAGCTCAGTCGTTGGTCTGTAGCAGAAAACGACAACTGCATTTACCTTTTCTTGTTTTCTTTTTCAGGTCATCACCAACTGGATTGAGCCTCCTAAGAGAGAACGCAAAGCCAACTACGCCGTGGACGCTTATTTCCGAGAGGCTCTGAGAGTCAGTGAGCCCAAAGCACCCAAGGTAGAACCATATAAACCCCAAAATAACCTCGTGTATTCATCTAGAATGGATCTTAACAACGGTATTTGTATGTTTTCCACAGGCGCCCCGCCCCCCCAAACAGCCAAATGTCCAAGACTTCCAGTTCTTCCCTCCGCGTCTCTTTGAGCTTCTGGAAAAGGAAATTCTGTACTACAGGAAGACCATCGGATACAAGGTTCATAAAACAGGTTTTATATAGAGGATTGTTGCTTTAGTCGGTCTTTTTAGGTCTGATCGGATCTATCGTTGTGTGTTTAGGTTCCCCGCAACCCAGACATCCCAAACTCAGCTCAGGTCCAGAAAGAAGAGCAGGCCAAGATTGATGAGGCTGAGGCTCTTTCAGAGGAGGAACTGGAGGAGAAGGAGAACCTTCTGCAACAGGTACTGATGATTATCACACAGAACAGCCAAGATATAGTGAAACATGTACGTGAAACTGGTTATATGTGTGCGTGTTTTCAGGGATTTACAATCTGGAGCAAACGGGACTTCAACCAGTTCATTAAAGCCAACGAGAAGTGGGGAAGAGATGATATTGAGAACATTGCCAGAGAGGTTGAAGGAAAAACGCCAGAGGAAGTCATGGAATATTCTGGTAATTAATGTCCTTTTCTCTTTGTTTGGCCAAGCTGGACTTATTTTCTGACTTCATTCTTTGTTTTTGTTGTTGTTTTGTTTTCAGCCGTATTCTGGGAGCGCTGCAATGAGCTGCAGGATATCGAAAAGATCATGGCCCAGATAGAACGAGGAGAAGCCAGGATTCAGAGAAGAATCAGCATCAAGAAAGCATTGGACTCAAAAGTAGGGGACTGCCAGCTGGTTTAAACCGTCTGCTGCTCTGTCGTGAGGTATCCTGTTCAAGCCTAATTGTTCTTTCCCCTCCGTTACAGATCGGTCGCTACAAGGCTCCATTCCATCAACTCAGAATTTCTTATGGGACCAACAAAGGCAAAAACTACACGGAGGAGGAGGATCGATTCCTCATCTGCATGCTTCACAAGCTGGGCTTCGACAAGGAGAGTGTTTATGACGAGCTCCGTCAGTGCATCCGCAACTCACCTCAGTTCCGCTTTGACTGGTTCCTCAAATCCAGGACTGCCATGGTGAATTCTGTCTCCACTGTTTTCTCCTGCTTTTGTTCAGTCAACGTACTTTTTTTTTCTTCTTAATGAAGCCAGTCATGTAAATATATATATTTTGTGTTTTTAAATCCTAGGAGCTTCAGAGGAGATGTAACACTCTGATCACACTGATAGAGCGAGAGAACATGGAGCTGGAGGAGAGAGAGAAGGCTGAGAAAAAGAAGCGAGGACCAAAAACCAGCTCTGTAAGTCACATTCTGTGCTCCTAACGTTAATTACACGTTTCCATCAGCAGCAACAAATGTTTAATGTTTGAAACTTTGCTGTTTTAGGCACAGAAGCGTAAAGCAGAGGGAACCCCCGATGCTCGAGGACGCAGGAAAAAGCTTAAATTGTGAAGGTGCTCATAAACTACAGGATCAGAGTTTGATTAAAGCTGCAAGCTCCAGCGTCGTTAGTCCTAGTGTCTGTGGTAATGTACCGTGTAAAAGTCCTCCATCGTTGTGTTAGGCTTTAGGACACTGCTCCTTTACAAGCTGGCCATGTTGCTACCTAAACACTGCAGCTGTGCTGGTTTAGTTCTTTTTTTTAGTTCTTGATTTTTTTTTTATAGTAGTTAACAGAAATAAATGTATTTATGCTTGTTGGTTGCACTGCATTCAGTTACTCAATACATGCTCTTTATTTTTAAGGAGAGGAAAATCTGTTCATCCATCTTCTTACGTGATGTACAAAATGTCCTTGAGCATCAAAAATAAATCTCCCTTTTTATATATAAAAATGTATCACCTAGTTAATAAGACTCATTCAAAATCAACATCTATATTTAGCAGGTGCATCCAAACCTTTGAAAATGTCAAACACAGAAATCCACAAATGTATATTAACATTTTACCTGTTGACTTGTTTTAATCTGGAGATTTTTTTTCCCCAGAACTAGATGAGAGCACCAGAATTACAAATGGATGTTCTTCAAGTTTCACCAGGGTGAAGTAATATGTATTCTGAAGATGTTGATTCATCTTTCGTTATCGTTGATCTCAATCATTGAGGTTATTTTTCTGCATTCTCAGACATGTACAGTACTTCTCAACGACACACTAGTGAGCAGGTATTTGCAGTTATTGAAAATCACAACAGAACAGTAGCTAAGTCATTCATTCAGGTCGTTTCCTTCTAGCATACAGTCAGTTTAGCTTCTCTCCACAAAACATGCGTTACAGCTTTATACAACTTTATAAAAATCTATTTCGCTGAGGAAACTAAAAAGTTGCCATTCACTCATCAATCAGCTGCATTTTTCATGCATTTGCAAACCTCTTAATAAAACTAATATTTTACAATGGGGCAACAATAAACATCATTTTAGACTTCAAATATTTTTGTGATTCTGAATGGTTTGTAATAAAGACACAAACTTACAATACAATGTTGTAAACGTAACCATCAGAAACCAGTAACCCTCACGACTGGTACATAGTGTGTACGGAAGCCCTGAGCACTGATATTTGTGCTGGACCATGCAGCGCTTTACTGGTTAAATATCAAACGGCACAGTGGTGAAGGACACTGATAGTTTTTTTAATGGGGCACAGATGTAGGAAGTCCACATCTAGACTTCAGAGCTGTCTGAGCTGCTCCACATGCCAGCTGGTCCTCGGCTGTAGCCATTGTAGGCAGATGATGAGGAAGTGGCATATGGTGAGAATGTAGTTTTCTTTTCTTTCCTTTTACGGCACAGCACCAAAATAACGAGAATAGCGATGAGGCAGATGAGAAGGATTAGACCTGCGATTCCCGCAAACATGGGTAGGTAGGAGGTGTTGTCTGGCTCTCTGCCTGAACTCTCCAGTAGGGGGCGTTCTAGAAGAGGGTCATGGTCCGGCGACCAGGGTTGCCACTGGCTGACCACCATGCGGTTCGATCGGTCCAGAGCAATGTGCTGGATGTTGGTGCCCCGGTTGCTTTTGATGCCGATGTCCTGGGCCAGAGGTGGACCAGACAAGGCAGGGGCCGAACGGCGCTGGCGACTGGCCATCTCCGAGTTGTGAGGCTGCTCAACTGAGAAAATGCCATGTTGGAGATGGTCAACGCTGCGCTTTCCAATGTTACGATTGGCATTTTGTCTAGAGCGAACAGCGTAGATCGCATGGATGAACCATTCCCTACCAGCAGCCACCTAAGACAGTAGAGAAGCTCCTTCCGTTATTTCGTACAGGTTCTAACAAATGAAAATGGTCTCTGAAAGGTACTGACCTGAAAAAGTGGTGACGAAGACAACATGAACCCATCCGTGCCTGGTTGTCCAATCAAAGCCTGAGCTCCAGGAGTATCTTGGGCCAGCATGGCTTTGAAAGCAACATCTCCAAATGCTGAGGCTTGAGTCTCTGGCTGGGCTTTGTCCTGCAGAATAAACACCAAACTTAAAATGCACCTTTCTTCAAAAGGACCACATGTCTTTGAATCTTACCAGAATTTTGAATCTGTAAAGCAGGGAGGGTGCATCTGCCAAGCAACCATACTCCTTGTCCGTGGGGTTGTATTTGGGGACATATCCGTCTGCTCCAGTGCAGAGGAACACTTTCTCAATGCTACAGGAGAAGGAGTCGCCCAGGTTCTGGACAGGGTCTACCATCACACGGCCATAAATTGTGGAGCCTGAATAAACGGAGCAAAAATAGTTCTGAAACCATCTGAAAGGCTTTGTCCAAGCTGTGGTACACCATTACACAACTAGATGGCAGTAGAGTGCTACCTTCTGAAAAAGCAGCATCCGTTCCTTCTCCAAAACCCATGGAGCCATCAGACAGCCACAACTCTCGCTTGGATAGGAGGAACATCTGTGTATTTAGACTGAATTCAGCTGCTACTGGGTCGCTCACCTGGAGGTAATGGGTTACACCAGAGAAATGGTCTATTGCAGATCATCTTTTTGCATTAAACCCCACTTGATCAAACATCTGGCTTTAGCATAAATCCATGCTGAAAATTATTAGAGATGTTTCTACTAGGTTACAAAGTGACCTGCTGGAAGCGAATGTCAATGTCAAAAGTAAGCGGCTCTCTTGGATGGCACACAGGAGGGATGCTGAACTCTCCATTGGGTGATGCAATGCAGGGAACCAACTTCACTGTGTAAGTCCCTGAGTAGTCTCTGACCTGGTAACCAGATGGACAAATTGAGCGTATTCTTCATATGATCATTTAAAATAAGGTCTAATGACTCACTGCAAAGTCAGAGACAAAAGTCCATTGTTGCATGGGCTGGTTGTAAGTTGGCTCGGTTCTGACAAGGATGAGAGTAAACGTCAGCCCAGGATGGTCAGCGCAAATCACCATGGATGCCACACTGGTTCCTAAAGACAAACATGTATACAGGTATGCCTTAAATCCACTCTACAGTATCAACAGTGTATGTATTTATAGAGCCCCCCCCCCCCCCCCTCCCACACACACACACACACAAATGCATTGTGTGTCTCTTGTTGCCTAACGTTCACTTAAATGAGCTTTCATGCGGAAAGACTCCTGATGTGGAACTCCAGAAATAGATCATGGGAGGATGTTAGCCACAGAGTAACCCAATATGCTGCTGCTTCTATAAAATCACCCCAGTTAGGATTGGTTTGGAGGGTAAATGTGCACATACCTGGATGAGACATAACAAATTGGCCCCTGAAGCGAGCCTCAGTTTTGAAATTCACCACGAGTCGACCTTCCTCATTTATACGCATGCTGGTAGGGTACATGGCTCCTGTGAAAACAAGAGGGATTGTTTAAAATTCTTAGTTTTCTTCGGGGACAAAAAAAATACAGAGATTGGTGGAGACCCTACCTTGTAGTTCAGCTTCAGGTGGGCTGCCGATACCGTCCTGCCACAGAATTGCTGTATCGTAGACAAACGTGAGTTTAAGTTCCGACTGGAGATCAAAGTGCTGCCAGCCTCCAACAGCCACAGGAGAATGAAAGACATAGGAAACAAAGAGGGGGACGCGCAGAGTGACGTATGACTGGACAAGGTTCAGGACCTACATGAAAGGGAGAATATCATTTGGTTTATAAGGTTGCGGATATTGCAACACCCAATTCCAATACACATCTGCAAGTTCTGACCTGTCCGTCAGTGCCTATAGAACCCCCACATTCATTCAGCAGCTCTGACATGTCAAAGAAGCTGCTGAACTCCCAAAGGCAGGCCTCTAAGTTAAGGTTTCTATAGAAGCGCAGGGAATTTGTTGAACGCATAATGGTGCTGTACTGGTACGGTGAAGTCTCCCCGATGATTTCAGGGTTCTTTGTTGCGTCTGTGATGAAGCCGTGGCCGGTCTGGATCTCGTTGAAGTCCAGCAGGTTGGAGCAGCGGTGGTTACCCACACGGGTCCCATCTGGACTCAGGGTGAGTTCAAAGTTTGACAGAGGTTTCGTAGAGATCACTGGTAGCATTCCTGGTGGGGGAAAGGTTTGTGTCACTGAGAGTCAGCCTGTTATGGTCTTTAGATGATATGAAAGAGTAATAATGATTATTTAGCAAAAGCTGCAACAGAAGTAGAATTTTTACCATCCATGTGAGGCATGTTGATGGTCAGTTTGATGAGGTTCGGGAAGTCTGGATCATCCGGGCCAGTGTAGCGGATTTTAGCAGAGAAAGGTTCAGCTCCAACTGTTCCTGGAATTCGAGGCTGACACATGCCTGTAAAAACGATGTCAATCAAAACTCAAAGTCATGAAGGATCACTACCTTTTTCTCCTTAGTTCTTTAAGCCATTTTATTGCTACTCACCCTCCTCTTTGCTGATCACAACAATGGGACTGGACAGCTCCAGACCAGCGTCTCCATTGGTGTTGAAGGCTCTGGCTGCACACTGGATCCTGGATCCAGCTTGGAAGTAGATTGAATCCAAAGTGATAGACTTTGTGTTGGTGAAGAAGGTGTTAGTGTCCACCTCCCTCATGGGGCTGGTTACTCCATCCGATCCAGTGGGAGCGCTCACCAGCCAGCGGTACTGGGTGAGAGTATCGTTGATGTTCTCAGCTGAGCAGATGGAACCTGTTTTGTCAAAATCGTGGTACTTTGGGTTGCAGGCCTGGAAGGGAAAGCAAACAGTTGCAAAAGATATAGCAAAGTGTTTTACGATGATAAGCTTTTGAAGAAAGCAGCACGTACCGTCACACATACAACAGGGTATCCATTGGATGGATGGGGCCTCTCTCTACTTTTAGCTGTGTCGTCATACATGAGGAGAGAAACCACCTGGGGAACTGCAGGGAAGGTAACGTCTGCTACACTGTCCATCTCCTCAATGTACACGATGGCTTTGTTCATCTGGCAAGAAGATCATGGACATAATTAGTTGAATTTGCTTGTGAAAGCTATATATTTTGTCGAGGACAGTAGCTGTAATCGTCCCTTTGTGCTCACATATTGCATATTCATGATATGCAAACGTCTTGCCTCTGATTGGCGAAAAGAAACACAACTCTTCCATTCACTCTTCTTTTTGTGTTATCTCCACAAAAGACACATGCCAGAACGTGTTCCGCAATGCTGTGGAGTTGCTATTGCTAATGGCTTCTACTAGCCAAGACGTGCTCTGCTCTCTTTTTGTGCAAAATCAATCCAGGCCTTCATGATCACAAGCCAAGCTGGGTGAGTCTATGAATGCACATTTACAGTGTGATGTTGAGCTGTTGTTTCTTCTGATCCAAGAGTTTTTCCATCTATTGTCTTACAGCGGCTAATGCAGGAAGTAGGGGTAGAAGACTACTTTTACGTTCTGGTATTCAGAATCAAAAAAGTACAAGTATTGTGCCTTTTTTATTGAACCTCAACTTTGAAATACTTCACCAAGCATGTCTGATTCCATGCTAAAACATAATAACTACCAGTCAGTCCAACCCATTCATGCTGAGTGTCAAGTGTGGAGGAATTGGGTCCCATTTTTTAAGTCGTTGGTATGACCCCACCGTGGATTTGAACCCACAATCTCCCAGTCTCAGGTTGGACACCCATACCAATAGGCCATTGACATGATTTGTGCTGGACTTTTCAGTGTTTTTATTTATTTGTTATTTCCATATCTGAATTTAGGGTTTATGTTCTTGTAAAGTTTGTCCTTTTCATTACTTGCTCCATATTCTTCTTCCACTTACCAGTATCCCTTCCCAGCTTACCTAGCGTTTGGTTTTCAAAATCAGTTGTCATAATGTCTGTGTTGCTTTGCTTTCTTCATTTGCTGCTTTGTTTGTCTTTATGTATCAAGTCAACTGAGATTTCATTAAAATTCAGGGATGGGTACCGAATTCGGTACTTTTTAAGGTACCGACTGAATTCCATAGGACCGACCGAGCACCGATTCACGTAATTTCAAATGGTGCCTCGTTTCCGTACCCGTCCATCATAACGAGAACTTGCCAAGACAGCTGCGCATGCGCAAGAGCATTATGTCGTCGCTCGCTGCGAACCAGTTGTAAACAGAGCAGCATGGTAGAAAGAACGCACGCTAAAGCTTGGGTCCACTTCACTAAATGTGATGGGTAACTGGGTGATGATGAAACCAGCGACAACGATCTAAGTGAGACATCCTCATCTTAATCTGCTACGGTAGGTAAATATAATTAGCTTGATATGTTAGCTTCCGTTTCGCTAATGGTGCGTTCGCTTTCTCCTCGGAACTCCGAATTCCCGACTAGAAGAACGTGAACACGCTCTAAAGTTTGGCTTCACTTTACTAAATGTGACGGGTGAAGACGAAACCAGTGACAACGATCTAAGTGTGAGGCATCATCATTTTAATCTGCTCCAGCAGCTAAATAAACTGTTTAAGATAACGTTAGCTTGGTATGTTAGCTTCCATTGCTACCATTGTTATCAGCTAATGGTGTGTTCGCTTTCTCCTCGGAAATTCTAACTTCCCAGTAGGAAAAATCAAATGAAAAAAGGAATGAAGATACACAGTAAATTTAGTTCACAGTAAAGATGTTTGCTTCAGTTTAATTATCAGCTTATAAAACTACAAGGACGATGTTAAAATACAAACCGTTGAATGTTATTTATCGTGATATTTATCAAATATTGCTATATATTGAGAAAAATATATATTTAATTATAAAAGAGAATTAAAATAATAAAATCTCAAAAGTATCGAAAGTTGGTACCGTTAAGTACCGGTATCGATTCGTAGGTACCGGGAATTAGTACCGGATCGATTCAAATGTCAAAGGTACCCATCCCTAGAAACCACTCAAAGTTCCATATCAAAACTCGATTTAAAGCATGCAAATGATGTTGTACGATTTAGAAATATGTTAATGTTATCTTATTACCTTCACTGACACTGTTTTCAGAGTTAAATGAGAGAAAAGGTGATATTTGAGTTTTAGAATACACTCATCATTAAAACTCTCATCATTAGTTCTCAAAGAAAGTGAACAAATCTGTATTTTAACAGTCTTTAAGCAATACTGTAAGGCTAATATAGAGATGTGAAACATTTCCTCATTTGTAAAAGAGATGTTGACAGGAATAATAGAGAAACATAAAAAAAAGCTTAGACCTCATCCCAAAGTAGTATATAGTACAGTCAGTAAATATGGATATGCATCTTCAAGTCACAGTTTAATTTAAACATTGATCAGCTTTCGTGTTTTGTAAGTAATTTGACTAAGTTCTGAAGCTGATAATGGGATATGGGTAGCTCAGGAGGTAGGGCAGGTTGGCCAGTGATCAGAAGGTTGTAGGTTCAATCCCGGCTCCAACCAGGGAATGCTGCTGTTGTGTCCATGGGCATGACACTTAACCTGCCTTGCCTGCTGTAGGTGGTCGGAGGGACTGGTGGCACCAGTGCATGGCAGGCGTCGCCTCTGTCAGTGAGCTCCAGGGCAGCTGTGGCTACATTGTGTATTATAAACTGGAACGGCTTCCACAGTTTCTACTTTAGCAATAAATCAGTTAATGAATGAAAAACCAAAGAGACAAAAGTAGAAACCCAAACAAAACTTTATGTTTGACAAAAGAGAGGGAGGGATTCATCATGGCACGTTTCAACTTTGAGTAAACAAACATTTTCACTAAACTGATTATTTGTTGCAAACCTGAAGATATTGTTACAGCTTTTATACTGACAGCACAGACAACATTTCACCGTCTTTATTATGGGAAACAAGAAAAGTGGTTTTAAGAGGGAAGATTAGTAAATTCATCTCACAGAAAAAGAAAACAGCATACAGACATCCAACATACAGTCTGTTCGTATGCAGATTATATTATGTTCTTTTCAAGTTTCCATTTAATTCCCTCCAGGAAGCTTTCAGTGTTTTTCACCGCTTTTCCTAAATCTTTGACTATACCACGACTTAAAGAAAATCCATGACCGTTCCATGTTCTGACCAGATGCTCTGCATCTCAAAATAACGCACTACACCTCTCACCGCTGGAAATGTAAACATAAAAAATGATGAATGGTTTTAGCTTCACTTGACTTGGCTTGGATAAGTTACTAATACAAGTAGTGATACTAATTTACTAGTAGTACTAATAACAGTTAAACTCATACTAATGAAATGTTTTAGTGATTGTTTTATTGAGATTAGCCAATAAATGGATCAATCTTTTGAAAGTAATAATATTCTGATTGTTATATCCTGGATCAGCCTTCAACGGTTAAACAATAGCAAACCATGCTTCGACACAAGCATAAATCAATAGAAGATTTCCAGAAGTATATATAAAATGATGTAAATATCTGGTGCAGAATTCAGAAGTATCTTTTAAATGAATTACGGTATAATACATCTCATAACAATTTAGTGCAAGATGACCTATTCCTGTGACATGAATGGCACGCGGCTAATGCAGAGTGAATGGGTAGAATGTCACAGTTCTGTTTATAGGTTTGTCTTCGGTTTGGCTCTGTGGGGACGTTCACCTCAGCGTCTCATTCCACAGGGAAAAGCTTTTTATAAGGCCGTGGTTTGGGTGTGCTGACAGCATTGCCAGCTGCTGCCTGTCTATTTTAACACAGGCTGACACGACAGGATGCATGTTCAGTGCTGCTGCTCTGCACACACACACACACACACACACATGCACGTACACACGCACGCACGCACGCACGTACGCACGTACACACACACGCACGCACATACACACACGCACACACACACGCATGCACGTACATACACACACACCCACCCACCCACACGCACGCACGCACACACACGCACGTACACACACACACACACATGCACGTACACAAACACACACACACACACACACACACACACACACACACTGGAATTCTTTCCGGTCCTGTGTGCATGAGCTTATGTGGGCCTCGTGGCTTACACTCACCTGTACCTCAGCCACCATGTTGTCATCAGGCTTCATGTGCACCGTGAAGGCTTCTCTCATCTCTCTCTGACCATCGTACAGGATCTCGATTTCAACAAACTGCTTCTTCTCGCCCTCTTTGAACTCCACGTCTTAAACACCGACAGGAAGGTGAGCAGTGATGATCAGTGACAGGACTTTAAATACGTTGTCTTACCTTCTGACAGCGGGTTGTAGTCATCTCCAGAGGTTGCAGATCCATCCTTTGTGTGCACTCTCACTACGGAGACCTTTGAGGTATCTCCGAAGCGCAGAATGGGAATCTTCACAATTGCCATGTCACCTTTTACCTGGGGTTCATGTACACTGTACTTGATCTCAGAGAAACGGATGATGGGCTCTAAACAGGAAGCAGAGTTCCGGATTTATTAACGTCTGAATGAGCTTATTCGTTTATTTAAGCTTAAAGGTGCATTATGTAAGAATGACATCCTGTGGTCAGATTTGGGTACTGCAGTCAATTTTCAATACAAACAAGTAGCTCTCACTCCCGTTCCACGAGTTTCATGTTGCCATTTAGGGCTCAGCGCCAGAAGATTTTGGATAACAAGTGAAGACGAGCCAAACACAGTAACTTGATAAGTAGATACATACATTTCATTGTAATACTGAATTTTTGGTAATTGAAAAAGTAGCTTGAGACATTTTTAGATCATTTTGTTATTCATCATTAGCATTTTTAGCTCAACGTTAGCCTTCTTGACTTGATTTTAGGGTGAAACAAAAAAAATGCAGTGGCTTCTTAGAGGTACAAGAAATAACTTCTGGGTCGCTCCTGTTTACTGGTTTACATACTGTCCACAACTCTGGAGCTTTTTGCCAGCTGGTGTCGATTTACAAATGTTGATGCAGCAGCATGAGCTGACGCAGAATTGACAGCTCCCAGATTGTAAACAATGTTTATGTCCCTCTTCAGCTTTATTAAAATAATTACAACTAGTCTCCATCCAGCTGGCTGAGAAGGAACTCTGTTTCAGTCTAACATGATAGAGACACTTGACTGTTTTGTGATTATTTCACTGTAAAATTATTTTACCTTTAAAGTGAAGTAATATTTGTTTTTAAAAAACAGCAGTAGTTCCAATAAACTACAGTTGTTTCGTCTCATCTGTGAGTGCTGTAAAATACAACTTTATCAAATACTGAGGCTTAGTTCACATTCACTTCACAAATTAGTTCACATTCACTTCACAAAGCACGTACTGTCTTTCTCATCTGTGATGGTGACCAGAGCTTCCTTCCGCTCTCCGATCAAGGCCCCATAGGGAGACTTGCTCTTGGGGTTTCCCAGCACCAAGCGGAACTCCTCGTCCTCCTCGTGGACCAAGTCATCCATCAAACCAACCACACACGGCTTCTCAGATTCACCTGGGGTGTAAACAGGGACTAGGTAAAAGATAGAACTAATACAAGAGAGAAACACAAGGTAAGACTTATGACCTGGTAGAAAAGTGACGATGGATGCATCGGTGTTTGGCCTCTCACTGTAGTCCATCATGACCTGAGCCGATCCCTGACGAGTGTAACAGCGAACCGTGGAAGTGAGGCTGATGTCTCCATTTCGATACAGCACAGCTCTTACTTCCCCATTAGACTCATCCACTGTGTAGCGGTCTTCCTTGAACTGAACCTTCGGTACTTGAACCAGAAAAATCAACAAGTCACAGAACCTTTTAACTAACATTGAGTCCATCCCCTATTTGAACCAAAAACCAATAGTTGCATACTACAAATGGCATTTATATGGATTATTACTACTGAGTCTTGTTTTCTAGTTAAATTAATTTCATTTTTTTCATGAGATTAAAAGTGAGAAATTCTGTGTTATTCAGATGAGCTGAAAAGAAGAGAATGACCTAATACATGATCATCCATTCTCAAATGTTTAGGCCAGTAAAATAATGAGCATCATTAGAGTGTTGTTAGACAAAATGAAATAATGGGTTCATGAGGGAGTATGTGTGTAATTCAAAATATTAAGCTTACTTTTAAAAAGCTTTGAAATGAAATATATTTGTATTCCATATTACAGTGTCAAAAAGGTAACAGAGTTACACTACTTTGAGTTACTTATGGCAAAGTAACAAAAAAACAGCCCCCCCCCTTCAGGAATTAGATATGATTTTTTTAAAGAAACGTATAAACGTGATAGTCTGACCCTGTACTGTGATACAATTAAGGCAATGCATATTTTTTTAATTTCTTTTTGCTAAGCCCCCCCCCCCCCCCCCCCATACAGCCCCATGCAGTTTCAGTTGGGCCCTGCTCAGCATTAGCCAATAGTGTTTAACAGCCACTTACATGGCGATGTAGATCACAGAGTGTGCACGAGTGTTTGTAGAAGTACCTAGACTGATGCATAGCTGGTGACATTTTTACATTTTACACATATATACACACACAGACACACACACACATTCACAGAAACACACACACACACACAGACACACACACACACATTCACAGAAACACACACACACACACACACACACACACACACACAGAAACACACACACACACACACACACACACACACACACACACACACACACACACACACTCACAGTCAGTGATGGTGTCATTAATGGTGACTGTTGTCCTGCTCGGCTCTCCTAAAACAGCATTCATGGGCATTCTCAGTACAAGGTCAAAGGTCTCTGGCCCCTCCAGCTGCGGCTGACCCAAGTCATCCAGGATGGTCACCCTGAATGTCTGCATCGTTACGCCAGGAGCAAAGTCCAGGTTGCGACTGATGCCAACATAGTCGAGTCCAGCTGGTAAACAATGAAGAGGAAAACAACTAAATATGTTGTTTTATACAATGACAGATACAGACTTCAAGGATTTTGTTAGACTGCTGAATTTTACCTTCTGCAGAAACAGGATCGCTCTTCCTGGAGCGGACAGTGACTGTGGCAGTTTTGGAAAGGTCAGTACCAGTCCTCCAGACCTTCACCTCAACGTAGCCTGAACTCTCATCCACCACGTATTCAGGCTCCCCAAAGTACAGGGAAGGCTCTGCAAGATTAGAGAGTAATCTCAGTTTCATGTTCTCATTGCAATTTTGTTGTTCTAAGACAAACACTTTTCACCAAGAATAAAGCTAAGTGGTCCCACCACAGGAAGAGATCTGTCACCCATCTTATCTTTTCTTCTCTCAACCATCCTCCTTCACTTCTAAGTCCAGACATCTCTGTCTGAAGTCCACGCCAAAGGGATGAAGGCATGACCTTGAAAAATGAGGACTGTGCTGGTACATGCATGCAGGAAGATGAGTAAGTGTAAGGGATGGTTCAGGTCTCTGATGATAGAGGGCCTGATAAGAAGCATGGTCAGAGATAGGCGATGGCCAAGACAGAAACTACTTCAGGGCCCTGCAACGCAATGTCAATTTATCTCTCATCACATGTGTATAAAAGCTTGCTTTCATCACATGTTGTCCAGCCAGTGCTCCGAGACATAAATGACCAGACTCAGGCCAACAGCTTTTCTGGGGAGAAAAGTGAAGCAAAATAAATAAATAAATAAATAAATAAACAAATAAATAAATAATACAGAAGGGAAGAAAAAGAATATAGAAAATGTTGTTAATGTCATCGTGATAAGTCAATAATTATTAAAGATAATTAAAATGAGCCAGATCCAGGGTGCTGTGTCTTGGAAAGCCCGCCTGCCATCCTCATATTGGTAACTTATAAAGTAAGTAATAGTACCTTAAGTGTTTTTTAAAAGGTGACTGCAGTCATCCTTTTGGATTAATTACAGCTTTGGATCCACTAAATGTTCCAATAAATCATTGATTCATGGGGTTTTGGGATTTATTTCTTAAACATGTAACAAACTCTTAATAATTCCATCCATCCCTACATCCATCCATCCATCCATCCGTCCGTCCGTCCGTCCATCCATCTATTCCTCCAGCCAGCCAGCCAGATCTCCTTCCATCCATCCATCCGTCCATCCATCCATCCATCCATCCATCCATCCATCCATCCATCCATCCATTCCTCCAGCCAGCCAGCCCGCCAGCCAGATCTCCTTCCATCCATCCATCTGTCCGTCCGTCCATCCATCCATCCATCCATCCATCCATCCATCCATCCATCCATCAAGTTTCTTTCACTTATCCAAGGTTGCAGAGATAACAGGTTTCAGAGTAAAATGAAGAAACACCAACTTTCCCAGAGGATTGTACCTGGAAAACATCTGTTGGGGTTGACCATGACTTATTGTTTTTAAATGCTTTAACCAACTGACTTATTTTGATGTGGCGGAGCAGCAGTTCTGCAATGAGCTCTACTCAGCTTTAAGCCTGAGCCTGTTCACCCTACATTAAAAGCTCATTCCAGCAGCTTGCATCCAGGAAGTTATTAGTTTTGTCACGATGGAAATCTAATGCCCCTGGGTGATATATAAAGAAAAAAAAATTAAATATATTGTTCTCGAGTTTTGAAGCTGGAACAGAAATTAATGTTAGTTCTGTCCAGCTGATGCTGATGGAAAGATTTCTGGCACAATCACAGCATCTGGTGACAAGAGGAAATGCCTGCCGGAATGGCAGCTTTGAGATCAGTGGGAGGAAGAATCACACAAATACAGTAACAACAGAGGTCGGGTGCTGCTGGCATTTGCTCAAACCACTAGTTTACCCAGGCAGACAGACAGATGCCTTAACACACACACACACACACACACACACACACACACACACACACACACACACACACTGGTCGACCCTGAAGTAGATTTATGGTGTAGTGTGACTTCAGGACCTACCAAGATGTAGACCCACAATAACGGCTCAGACAGAGGTGTCCTCTGTTGTCTTTTCACATGTCTGGGAATGCATGCAGCTTTATTTATACAGAATGTTCTTGTACTCCAAGCTGATGCACCAAATTATCTTGGTTAAAGGTCAAAAGTGATGGAGTCAAAACGTGAAGACAGAATAAGTTGAAATATTTTGTCAGGGGGGGGGGGGGGTAAAAATCTTGAAAAGAAAGTTGTACAAGTCCTGTAGGCTATCAAGGTTGATGGGACAGATGTAAAAGATGCATTCTTAAGGACAATGGGCCCCTTTTCTTCACCACCTGCTCTTAGGTCCCTGTAGGCACAAAGGATGGCCTCTGAGCCCCCATCATCTCCTCTTATATCAATAATAACATGGAGGGTTACCCAGAGAACTCAGTCATTTGCCATCCACAACCCACTGAGGCTGTAGTTTTCCTGCTGAACACCTGCCTATTGTTATCCCATATTTGACTCACCGACTGATGCATGAAGTAAGCAGAGTTTCGGCGACAAAGATGACAAACATAAACAAGGTGAAGCTGCTGAGTTATCTTTTGAAGGCATCATGGTCGCTACACTTCGGCTGGATTACTAATGCTGAAATACCAAAAGCAGCAGACTCACCCACTCCCACTACCACTACAACTCCTCCCATTCTTCAATTCCGCTCTAATTCACAAAGTCATAGATGTAAAGTGTCCACTCACCGTCATCGCTGTCAGCCAAAATGGTGACTTTGGCGGATGGGAAATGGGGCCCCACTTGGCCCCCCATAGGCATACTGAGGCTCACGTTGAAACTCTCGTCTTCCTCATACAGGGAGTCATCAATGATGATGATGCGGCACCCTTTCTCTCGCTCATCCTTATAGAAGCGCAGCACACTGGTGTGGTCCTCGGGTCGGGTGATGTAGTCGGAGTAGGAGAGCACAGTGCTGGGGATGGTGCCGGTGGCTGAACCTGAGGAACAATGTGGGAATGTGGAGTTTAAAATGTTCACATTGTAAGTAAGATAGTAAGCTTTTACAAAGAGGCTCATCTCACCCTGGTGAGTGTAGCAAACCACCATCAGTTCCTGGTTGGCATCTCCTGAACGCCTGACCGGCACCAACAGCTCTCCAATATCCTCCTCTATCTTGAATTCTGCTTGTGGAATAAAAACTGTCGATTCTGTTTTGGAAAAAAAAAACAAAATAGCACAACTAATTACTAAGTCGGTGGTATTGTAGAGACTTTTGAATCTCTCAAACACCAGATCCCTACCATCTCCAGGGTCCACAATCTCCACTGTTGCTGCATCCGGATACTCCAGCACAGCCATGACTGGATCCGACAGCTGAATCTCAAAGGTCTCTGAGTTTTCAAACTCCTGATCCGTGAAGATCTTCACCCTCCAGGTCGCTGTTGTCTGGCCTGGGTTGAACTGAACCTGCTTTTGAGATTTCCCACGGAAGTCCTTGTCCATCTCAGCTGTGACATCCTTAGTTGCAATACCTGAAGGGGATAGGTATGTGGAGGGAATTTGGTTCTCCTAAGCCACTATTACATCTTGGCCGACTCGGCCTGATATTGGTTGGGTCAGCCCGTCGCCATGCGTTCAGGTTTTGTTTACACACCCAAACCCTAACCCCAACCATAGATTAGCAGTACCAAAGCAGCAAACGGTGATACTGCAGAAATAGTTATCGGACGGCCTTGTGTCTTGTGCTAAATGCTAAATTTATTTATTGCCAAGTTTGCTTCTTAATGGCATAAAGCTTTGGCATGGAAATATTTGATGGAGCCAAATGGACTGGTATTTTACTGTGGCCTTCATCAGGATATTCCATGTGTGCTTTCATTAAGTTTGACTGTAGAACAGTGAAACAGTCAAAAATAAAGCAAAGGTTTACCCATCCACCCACAACAAATATTTAAAGGTTCATTCCACCTGGAAGAGTGCCATTTGCATAAGTCTCAAAACATTCAACTATTTTAATATTTTTTTCTAAACGGAGTGCTGTGATTGACCCACCATTGTGGACCAATCACAGCATTCCATCGCTTTGAAACTCTGATAGAGAGCTGTGACTGGCCCACCAGAATGCTGCTTGGGGCTGCAAAGGTTCCAATGGAGCATTCCTGGATCAAACTTTGCACAGCAAGAATTTGATCTAGTTCACTAGGGCACAGACACCCTGCACAGAAAATTCATTTTGTCCGCTTTTGTCCACGATCTCATTATTTTGGTGACTTTCCAAAGCTCGTGACCATAGGTGAAGGTGGGAACGTTGATGGAACGGTAAATCAAGAGCTTTGTTTTCCAGCTCAGCTTTCTCTTCACCATGACAGATCGGTACAACGCCTGCATCACTGCAGATGCAGCACCAATCCACCTATTGATCTCGTGCTCCATCTTTCCTTCACTTGTGAACTAGATCCCGAGACATTTAAACTCCTTCACTTGGGGTAGGACCTCATCCCTGACCTGGAGAAGGCATTGTACCCTTTTCCGATTCATGCAGTTTACTTTTGGTCAACAATTAGTTTTTATATGATGCAAGTGAAGCAACATGTGACTCCTGGAATGTCCCAAATGTGGCAAGGTGGAGAAATGAGGGCCTGGGCGGGATTCGATCCCCAGACTCCCGGGTGAGAGTCATGCACACTAAATAGTTAGCCAAAGGGACATCCCATTGGCCAAGTAGCCAGGGTGCATCATCAATTGGGATACAGCGCTCACACTGTCACACAAGCTTTTTAGAAGAGCTACCTTTTTAGGGTAACAGGACTGAGTGAAAACCCAGGGACACAACTAAAATGTATATTCTAATAATAACATTATACATTTTCATTGGTTTTAATTACATAAACCACATATGGGATATGTAGTCAAGCAAAGAAGCCTAAAAATACATTTTCATTGGCATTTTACTATGTTTCACTGTGAAGTGTAATGTTATAGAGTGGGTACAAGCGGCAAATGCTGTTTCTTCTGTTTTGAAGGTAGTCTTTTTTATCATTCCTTCAATCCTAAATCCTAAAGTTGCTATTAGATCATTATGGCTCACTTTGCCCAAAAAGAAAATGTGTTTTAAAGTACACCTTCATGGGCATGCATGGATTACTTTCCAGGGGACAGAAATGGCACCCATTCGGTGGAACGACCCTGAAGAGGATGTTGATATTTTACTTCAGATCCATAAAGTCAATATCCAAATGATAGAAAATGAGCAAACAACCCTGTAATTGTGGGAAAAAATATTTCTGTTCCCAACTTTTCTCCAAAACACAAGTAAGAAAAGTGAAAGGCAACACATTTGACCATCGACACTCACTGACAAAGGAGGTTTCTCCCAGGTAGCCTCTGCGTTTCAGAGTCACCTCCAAGAATTTGGCATCTTCGTCCACCAGGTAGTATTCCCTTTCCAGAGAGATCCAAGCCCAGTTCAGCCGGAACGGCTGAGGTTTGAGTTTGTTTCCACCTGTAGTGAAGATAAAAGGCATCCATTCACTCAAAGCTCCTTTATATACTGTACTACAATCCATTACGAGTCGATGAAGCATGTAAACTGCAATTTGTGGTGAGCTCAAGGATAAAGAGACTAAGAAGGGCATTTTGTTTAGGAAGGGAAACACGATAGCTTAATACCCGGCTCTATCAAAATCTGTCTTGGCTGCAGTTAAAGATATGTTTTTGTTCTTTTTTACTTTGAGTCTCATCCTGCTGTATTTCATCTTCTGCTTAAATTTCAAATATAAGTAGGGCATGCACAAACATGGCTTAACTTTATACTGATTTCCAGAACAGTGTTGTGTCTTGTCAATCACAGCACTCTACATTTGTTGGGGGGGTCAACAAAGAAAAACTACAAAGATGGTGTCGGCTCAGAATCTGCGCTCATTAGAAACAGCTTTGGCATCAAATTTGAACAATTTAGACTTGAGCTCTTCTTTGAGACATGAGCAGATAGACGTCCTTTATTTCTACTTCTTTTCCAATGGTGTACGGCAAACTGCTCTGTTGATTGATTTTCTTAGTGATGAATACGACACATTGTTTATTGCTGATTGGTCCTAGCACTGTCTAATGCATGCGGAGACAGTTTGAAAGTTAACGGTAGATTCTGCCCCTCAACTGTTTTTTTAATGGTTCGTAGCCAGACTGTTTATTTAGAATGGCTTGCCAGGCCAGCAGTCATTCCCAGGACACACTCTGAAGTTTACACATTTTATACGTGCTTTGCTTAAATCATAACAGAACTGCTTTGAATAAATTTTGTCTTTTCGCAAAATATTGTGAACTGCTATACTGGTTTTAAATGGGCATACATTTATTACTTCAATAAATCTCTGGTGGTTTCTTACTTAAATTAATGCCTTTTTAGTTGTCCTGTGTGGAAAGTAAGCTCTGGCACTGTTTCAGAAAGCAGAAGTTAGTCAGAGAGTCGGGGTCCAGAAAATGGCACAATCTGCAGTCTTATTCACTAATATCCATTGACATCTCACTTCTCATTGGCTAACAGTACCATGAGTCTTCTGATCTTCTCTCCTGTGTAAAAATTGCATTGTTGATGTGCCACCTCCTCTAATAACACAATCCGAATGTTTTCTGCTAACAGTTGGCTTCTACTAGCCGAGACACGCTCTGCTCTCTCCTGGGAAGCTAAATAGATACAGCCTTCCACGGTTGCAAGCCAAGTTGTATGAATCCATTAATGCAATGGATTGAGGTCCATGTGGCAGGGGTGAGGTGGTGCTCACTCCTCACCCCTGCCACATGGACCTAAGAGATAAACCATCAACCCTGCTCAATGGTCAACTTTCCTCGTGGGGCCACACCCATTAGGACAGTGGGAGGGTTAAACTCAGCGTGACCAATCATATGAAGAAAATGCAAGTATTATACGTTTCTCAGTGAATCTCGGCTTTAATGCAACTCACAAAAAATGTTAGATTTAATCTACAAATCATTAACCTTTGTAGTCAAGATGGCCGCCACATCTACAACAGTAGTTACATTTCAGAACACAGCCTGAGACAAAGATCATCAATAAACATAAGAATTCAAGACCTTTAGTTTAATATCGTAATGCATTATGTAGCATGCTTAAATAACCACAATCTCCCCTTCCAAATGAATATTTTTATCTCACTTCAACCTTATCTGGTTCCTTTTGATTTGTATCATTTGCACTCTGTATGATCTTCAGGAAGTATATAACTGTTCTCGCAAAACTGAAGTGACACTCACTAAGTAACCTCTAAAGCTCTAAATAAAGTAGCTCTTAACCAGATCCTTAATCCACACTATCTCATGACTCATATAATCCCTCTGACTGTCAGATGAGATTCATTCACTGACTTGACAGCCACAAATTCAGGTATGCTTAAGATCATATGTTTCTCCTGCATAATTGAATTTTTTTTCCGACATGAGACAAATCTTGAGGCCCTTTGGATCAGAGGTTAGAAAGGGACATTTTTCTGCATTTTGCCCAGAGACAAAGAAACTTAAGTTTAAGACATTTTAAAATTCTCGGATGTGAAGGAAACCATGTTTTTTTTTTAAATTGGCAGGTTTCTAATTCAATGTGATTCAAACTGCAAAGCGAACTGGACATTAGCCTTCTATAAGAGGGTCTTGATAAACAAAGAAAGAGGAACTCAGAGAGGACAATGGAAAAAAAGTCTCACAATAAACCGGCGGCAAGCTCAGTTTGCTTCAGTGAGAAAGAAAGAGGCTGTGGTCTTTATGCTATGTGACTGGGGAGAATGAAACCACTTGAAGGGGGTGTGTGAGGGGTGGTGGCGGGTGGGTATTTGTGATGAGAAGGGGGACACTTCCTCAAAACACACATGTCAACACTGAAGCCAGACCGGGCAAGGTAACAATGGAGAAAAACCACTCTCGCCGCCAGGCTGAAACATTCTCAGATGGAGCTGATAACAGAAATCCTAAAATAATAATTAAATTGTATGAGATTCTCATTCGATGGTATCCTTAATATGACTAAAATGAAATATTCAAAAACTTATTTATGATGATTTATTGAGCTAAATGCCTTCCCGACCTTCTACGTATTCTCCATGCTCAGGTTTCCCGCAGTCACGGCTAAAAATACTGAAAACATGCAACATGTCTATTTTGGATACTCAAATTCAATCAAGTGTTTATGCACCACAGACACTGAAGTACATGAAGAAAACATGTGCATTGATGCATTTAAAACAGAAAAAATCTGCTACACAAATAACCTCTGACCTTAAAATATTTGTGCAAATTCTGCAGCTATTAATGCCCCAGCTTCCATTTCAGTTTGATGTAGTGTAAAAAGAAAAGAAGAAAGAAAGTCTTTGACAAGCTTCAATTATCAGATTGTTTCTGTACTTGAGAGCAGGTGAACTGGCTGCCGACCCTGTTTGGAGGCGGAATGAGGAAAAGCTTAGTCAGAGGCTATCATCGAGGCTTATCAAAGGAACACGGCCAAGACAAAAAAGCTGTTTTAGTTTGGGGATCAGAAAGATCAGGAGGATTTAGGTTTCTGCATTACAAAGAGTAAAACAACAGAGTTTTTATGAATCAGGCCAGAAAGCATCCGTACTTCTGTTATTCATCAGCTGGTACAAGCTCAAGGGGAAGAAAACTAAAAAAATATTTCCAACACATTAGCAGTGATCTCTAGTAGGAATGAATGCCTTGTAAGTCGTTCACTGGGGAAAAAAAGCTCCAGTGCACCTGTTTTAGGAACTTGAAGCCTGATCAGATTTGCGCTTCAGACGGCTGGATTTGGAGTCTTATTTTCTGGTATTTGGACAACTTGCCTCTGACTGGCTAACTACAATGCAACTCTACCACTCAGTGCACTTGCATACGCATCAGAAATTGCCCTAAAAAGATTTATGTTGTTTTTATTTAAATGCACGTAAACACGTTAGTCTGGCTGAGGGTAAACTGGTTCTAATCGAGCTGGAGCAGTAGCGCAGTATGCAGTAGCAATCCCAATACACTCTGCACGTAAACGGGTCAGCCAAACGCAACCGGTTGGCCCGCGTTCCGAAAGTGACAAGGCCATGGAAGCGGTCTTATGATAGTATCATTGCCACAAAGTAAAACGCACAACACCATAAAACATTAAAGTATGTGCCAAATGAGCTGTGCTGCAGGGTCGTTGTCCATTTTTTCAGCCATTGTACGAATCCTGTTTCAACTCCGTCTGCTTCACTCCCACCAGTGCTTGTTTACTATTTGTGTTGCTATAAGCTAACTGGAAGAATGCCAACATGAAAGGGTGCATGTCGCCACCCACTGTACTGGAGTGGAGCAAACTTCATTTGATAGGTTGGTTTTCTAATGCCAATGCTAGGATAAAGACTCCCAGCTTATTACCATAAGATCAACCTGGATCGACTTAGATGTTGGTCAGTTTCTCCACAAACAATCCTGAAGGAGTTCTGCAGTGTGTTGGAGTTGCTAATGCTAATGGTTAGCATGTACTGTCCAAGGCTTTCTCTGCTGTTTCATGGATGCTAAACCAACAACAGCCTTCCCCGTCGCGAGCCAAGATGAGTGAGTCCATGAACGTTAAATGACAGTGTGACGTAGATCTGTCAGGCTTTTCTAATCTCAGGATTTTACTGTCTAGTTTTGATCAAAAGCTAATGCAGAAATAGCCTATATGAATATATAGGATGGCCACGACCCATACGGATCTCAGTCATGGGGCGAGATCTTTGGTTGTCTTTCAAACTGTCTCTGCATGCGATTGGACAACATACAATGTGACATTCTCCCACTACGGATGTCAGTAAACGGGGCAGTTCATCATACTCTGTCAAAGAAGATGCAAAGCATCCTTATTCTAAATGAACTCAAGTACCTCTATCTACTCTTCACTTGAAAAAAACCCAAGTCTACATGATCCAAAATTGATGCCGAAGCCATTTCAAACAAGCCGTCACCATCTTAGTTTTGCTCAGTGACAGTGACATCCCGCCCACCAGACCGGTAGACGGCTATGATTGGCATGGATGCTTGAGCCTGCTGAGGTATCCTGTATCTCTGCTTTACTAACTTTTCCTCAGTATTTTGACTTTAGTTACAACATGAGGATTGCCTTTGCTCTTTATAACAATCTCACATGGTAGAATGACCTTAGGACAAAAAATCTGAGTTGATTTTCAGGCTGAGAATATCAAAGAGAAGATCTTCCTCTCTTCTCATGTCCAAACACTTTTTTCTTTTACTGCCGGCAGAGTGACAGCTGTGCTCCTCAGATCTCCTCCCCCTCCGGGTCATCCTGTTCTGGCTTTGTTGGCTCAGGGGGACGAACAACTGAGAGGGACAGCAGGCCACTGTCTGGGTGGGCCAGAACCACCACTATGGCATGCCTCCTGCCTGCCTCCACATTGTTCTAAACAGTGTAGGAGTGGGGAATCTCCCTTTTTTTACTTCTTTTGTCAGACAGAGAGCTGGAAGCTGGCA